CTTCCTTAATTTTTGCCTCAAGATCAGGGTGATACTTTCAAGCATACTGCTTGATTGGCTTAGAGTTGGGAAAAGTATCCAAATGATGAGTGACAAGGGATGGGTCAATATCAGGCATCTTGTCATATGTCCAAGCAAAGATGTCACTGTACCGCTTCCGTAGCATTATCAATTTCTCCTTCGTTGCTGGAGCCATTGTATCGTTGATAAACAAGGGCTTGCTCTGCCCGGGAAAGTCGCTGAGGTTAACCTCAGCAAGTACTTCCAGTTGTAGTTTGGGTCTATCCTGCATGCATTCAGGGACGGGCTCAAGTGTCTCCACCAACCCTTCTTGGGACTCATTAGCATCACGTTTATTTGCCTCGGGGCCATCCTCTCATGGTATGAAGTTGGGCCCCTAAGACCGTCATAGGTAGTAAACTGTCTTGCCGTTCTCGTGCACCTTAACAATCTTGGGCGGAGGACTTGTGGACTTGCTGCTCTTCTTCTGCCCATTGCTTTCTGGAGCAGCCTCGGCATTTCGAATGTCTTCCCACTTTGGCAATTTTACACCTACAACCTTACCAGTTCTCGGCGTTTTATCTGTTGACAACTCAGTAAAGAAGACTACATCAAAATAGTGTGCCTCTTCTACTCCAAATGGCTTTTTAGACGCATTTATGGTCACTATGTGCTTCCCCAACTTTGCCTTTACGCATATGTGATAACCCGATGGGATAGCCCCATATCAATGCATCTAAGTCCTGCCAAGTATCATGTGGTAATTTGTATCTGCTTCAATCACATGGAACTTAGTAGCAGAGTGGATATCGCCAACTGCTAAGTCCACTACAACATAGCCCTTAGTAACCATTTTCTCACCGCCAAAACCCGTCACCGTAATGGGTTGGCGAACCATCCTGGACTCTAGGATGCAAGCCTTCGCGAAGGTGTCAGTAGTGATGATGTTTATGGATGCTTTGCCATCAAGGAAAGCACGCTTGAGCTCCACGTCATTGATGTAAGCTATAACCAAAAGAGGACGGTTATGAGGAAATGGGTATGCTCTGTCTGCTTCTGAAAAAGTAATGGCTCCATAATCTTCCTGGAAGTCCCGAGGCATATACTCCTTAGCCTCAGCAACTTCAGTATGGTGCACTTTAGAGATGTTGATGAGGGCCTTTTTTGGTTCCAACCTGGCGGCTTGGTTCAGCCCCAACTGGTCAAAGAAGGTTCGAAACTTGATAGAATTTTGCAAGGCTTGAGCATGAGTATCTTCTGCGAGTTTTGCCTCTGCAAGTACTGTTTCGGGGAGCTGGCCAGTTGTAATTTCTTCTAACACATCATAGTAGGACGCCTTGTGCACTTGATTGCATACAGGCCCAAGATAGCCAATCATATGTACATTCTTTCCCTTCTCCTTGTGGTTAGGATAAGGGTCCTTCCTCACATCACGATTACTGACATCTTTGAACTTCATCTCCTTCATGTCAACTTTCTTCTTGAATATACTTTTCAAAGTCCAACTGTCCATAGTAGGGTGTCTGGTGGCTCTGTGATAGATACAACAATTTGGGATTTCTTTGTCCTTCTTAGTTTTAGGGACATCAACCGGAGGCAAAGTAAGTTCACCACCGGCTACCCATTCTTTAACCAAGGCCTTAACATTCTCGAGGCTGCATGGAAATTTATTTATGTCCTCATAACTCTTCCTCTTCCGAGAAGATGACGCCTCCCCATACAAGCGGCTCCCTCTTGCAGAGGTTACTGCAGCAACTCTGCTACTATGGGAGTAGCAGTGACTGTCGCGAGATCTATGCAGAGGGCCAGTGATACTGAGGCTCCTAGCTGCCTCAACCAAGGCTGAAAAGGTAGGTAGATTATGGTTCACCAAGAAAATTTTATAGTCGTGTATGGCACCCTCCAGACATATGTTGACTAAGTGGGCCTCATTCACTGGCTCATGACAATCAATAGCCTTATCTTGGAATCGCTTGACATAGTCTGGTATATCCTCACCTTCTTTTTGGACATCTCGCCGGATCGTGAGGGTTGTAACTTTCTCTTGAACTTGGATGAACTTCGTATGGAACTTGTTCACCATCTCCTTCTAACTCTTAATCGAGTCAGGGGCCAAGTTCACATACCAGCTATAAGCTCTTTCGGTAAGTGAGTTGGAGAACTCCCAAAGGCTCAGAGAATGGTCACTACCATGGACACCAAGTGTTTTGATGAACCTCATCATATGTTCTCTGGCGTTGCCTTGCATACCATCAAACTTGACAAACTTGGGTACTGTATACCCAGTTGTGTATGGCATAACCAATATCTCCTGAGAGTATGAAGGCTTCACATCTGGGTCGGAGAGAGATGGTAGTTGCTTCTTGCTGCGCTCTTGCTCAAGCATCGCTTGTACATCGACTTGCGTAACAAAGTGAGTGGGCTAGAATGGTCCAGTGTTCTCCTGGGTAGCTGAACCAGCAGCCGTACCGTTCACCTGGGGTACCATCGAAGGCACCTGGATCGGAGCCTGATTCTTAGGGAATAGGTTGGGCACTAGGTTTAGGACTGTTACAAGCGAAGGTGCCTATACTGGAGCTGGTCTGGATGCCATCAGTGAGAGTTTGCAAAGTTGCCACAATCTCCCTCTGCATATCCTAGAGTGACTGGACTGCCTCAACCACAACACGGTGGTCACGATTCTCTGCATGTGCTATTCTGCCATTGGAAGAGCCTTGTTGCCGTGGGGGTTGCTGAACTTCATCCTCTGCCATTTTTTCTAGTGAAATGTATAAACCACTGCGGGTATGAACCAGTAACAAAGCAGTGTCCCCAGTAGAGTCACCAGAAATGTAGGGGGATTCAAGGTTAGAAAGGTGATTAGAGAGGCAAAACTATACTAATGGTCCAACAATGGTGGAATGGCTGAAGAATGAGCAGCATCAACTATCTGGGTGTTGGAGAGTGTGTAGCTAGATAAGGGTGAAGCAGGTAGGTTAAAAAGAAAAGTATGGTAGTGCACAAATGGGAAGTATCTCCCCCAAATCTCCAAAATTCCTCCTCTTGAACCTTGGAAAATGGGTCCTATTTATAGGCTTTTCCTTGGTACCAAGAGGACATCAAGTGGCCAAATAAAGAGAGGACATGTGTCCCAGAGGATCACATGGAATATTCTGCCTTGAGCCACCAGACTGAAGGTACCACATATCCCTCTACATGTACTATCTGTTTGCCTCCGCAACTACCTTTTTTGAGCCTCAGTAAGTGTAGTTGCGACGGGAGTGTTTGGCGCTACAACTACCTTTTGAGCCTCAACAAATGCAGTTGCGACGGAAGTGTTTGTTGCTGCACTTGCCTTCTCAGCTCAAACCTCAGCAAGTGCACTTGCAATGGTAAACCTTACTGCTGCACTTCCCTTCTCAGTTCTACTTCACCAGTACATGCATTCTCAAGACTCTATTAGTCTACTATCTATTTGAGCTCACAAGTCAATCCTTCAATTCCTTCCAAGGCTCTCCAATTCTCAAGCTTAAAGTCAACTCTTCCTACTCTCTCTCTCTTACACCCACGTTAGAGCTTCAAATTGAAGTAATGAGTGTGCAAAATGAACTAGTGGAGTCAAGTGGGCCTTATATAGGATTCATGAAATTGACTTAATTAGTCTTGGCTTAAGCTAAGCTAATGAGCATTAATTATGTTAATAAATTTGTTCTAAATCCAAGTTTAATTAAACCTACTATAAAATTCTAAAAATTCTAATTAACACATAATTCAAGTCAATTTCGTGATCGGATGCCGATAAGGCCTTCAATTCGCAGAACAGAACAGAAACACATATAGATATTTCTACGATAAACAGATAGAGACACAAACAATGCAACATAAGTTAGTTACGACGACTATAGTGGCTGCAGCAGTCATTTCCAGCGGCATTTTCAAATGGAAAAACCAACAATATTAGAGATGGTGGCGCCGACAAAATACCTCCGCAACTTGGGCACTGCAAGTACCGCCTTTGCAACTTAGTTGCTTCGGTTTTCTCCTTCACTCAACAACTACAGGTGGCAGTGGAACCGACAATACTTGGAATAGTGGCGATACCGACAATACTTGGAATGGCAGCGCTGAGACAAAATGCCTCTGCAACTTGGTCGTCGCAAGTGTTGCCTCTGGAACTTAGTTACTTCGGTTTTCTCTTTTCCTCAACAACTCCAGGTGGCGGCTGAACCGACATTATTGGGGAATGGCGGCGCTGAGGCAAAGTGCCTCAGCAACTTGACTACCGCAAGTGTTCCCTTTGCAACTTTGACTTTGGCATTTTCCTTCATGAAGTCCGTTTGGACCCTTGGCAGGTCGGACCTGCTTCAGCCTACTGTTGACCCACTTCCCTTGGGCTTTAGCCCATGCTCTCTTTTCATTCATAGTCGTCTTAGAAGGGCGACCTTAGCACTTAAGTTCATACTTAATTTGGGGTTTAATTTCTAACCCTTTACAACTAGTTATAATAATCCAACACTACAAACTTATTAACATCAAAGCGTGTAGTCAATATATATATATATTTGAAAGTAGAAAACAACATCAAATATCCTTATATAGACTTCCAATTTAAAAAATATATTTATAAACACCCCATAAGTTGTACCAAAGGACCTTATAGTGTCCAAAAACTTTGTATAATAGTTTAGGTTCAAGTCAATGACCAGTTATAATAATCTAACACTACTAATTTATTAATATCATAATGCGTAGCATAAAAAAAATTGAAAACAGAAACAACATCAAATATATCCTTATATGGACTTGCAATTTAAAAAAAAAAAAAAAAACCCATAAGTTGTACCAAAGGGAGTTAGTGTCAAAGAACTTTGCATAAGAGAGGATTGAGCACCTTACTCAAGAAGAGCTATATCAAGCAACTAAGAGAGGATTGAGCACAACACCAGTGAACAAAACAGTCCCTTTGAATCTTGGGATCCATAATTTAGAAATATCCTCTTTCCTCAACCCAAATTCCTGATTCATGAATCCAGGGTTGGATACTTGAGCTTCTTGACTAGTTTTGGCAAGTCAACTGTTTCATTTGGAAGAAAAAAGTACATAGAGAAGTTACTACCTTGATATGGAATACTGAGGATTTTATATCCACCGAATAATTCGTAAAGATGACGACTGCCTCTTTTGCTTGTCATGAAAGGAACTTGAACAATCTCTCCATCGAGAAGATGAAAATTTATGTTTCTTGTACGTGTTTTATCGAATTTTTGATCCCATTGTCCTTTGCAGTATAATGCATTTGCAAAGAGGAGTGCAGTGTCACCATATAAACATCCAGGAGGAAGGAAATTCTTGATGAGTCCCTTGGTTTCATTTTTGACACATGAATTTACTTCATCTATCACTTGATCAGCCTTGAAAGACAATAACAAAAGATGATGATACAGAATGAGTAGCAGAAATGTTTCGTTTTATTTTGTTTTAAATTTTTTTATTTATAAGCTTTGAATCCCTAAAATTTGGTAATCTAAATGAAAGATACCTTTTAGATCGATGTTCTTAGGGGTGGCAATAACGTTAGAAATACTAGATGGTTGTTTGGGATATGCTATATAAGTGTATTTTTGACTTTTTAATTAAAAAAGTAAGGAAAAAAATATGTATATTTGGGATAATTTTTTAAATTTTTATGAAAAGATATGTAATAAAATATTATAGTATAATCAAAATGACCATTTCACCTTTTTGATTTTTTGACTTTTAACTTTTTGATTTTTTGGATAGTTGAATTCAAAGAACAAAATAATAATTTTGCCCTAGTGACTTCTCCCAGATACTACCCTTGAATAGTATAGAATTTTAATTTTTTTAGTAATTTTTTGACTTTGTATCTTTATTAATTAAATCCCAAACAATCCCTAAATAGTGTAGTCGGTACACTAGTTAATGTTTCTTGCATTACTGTAGTGATGATGCATGGCAGACTTTGGCGCTTTTTTTTTTTTTTTTTTTTTTTTTTTTTTTTTTTTTTTTAAGGTCCTCGAATTAATAATTTTGGCATTTATAAATTTTTTTTATTTTAGCAATAACTTTATTTTGGAATGTCCTGTTTTACGGTCATCATTTTGGCATGTTTCTAATATTTTATAGTATCTAAATTTGGGCATAATTAAAATCAACAACACTAAATATTCTGTACAATATGTAGCACACTAAATTTTATTCAACTCATATATTGCCAAATTTTATAATTTCCTAATTGATTTATGCCTAACTAAATTGTTTCCTTGTAGGATTAGGATTTCTTATTTAATCAGAGTTTTTTCCCTTTGTGGATACAAAGTTTTTTTTTTTTTTTGGGGGGGGGGGATATATTCAATGTTTTTGATATACTACATCAATTAATTTCTTACTTAATGCACAATATATAGGGTTAAAACTTATTCGAGATCGAATTATTATATAAATAAATCAAGTGTGAACAAAATTTTAAGTTTGTGGCTTAACAAGTTTATAAACACTATAAAAAAATCGAGTTATTTAAACTTAACTCAAATTCCATTTATTAAAGCCTTATTTGGGATAAATTAAAAAAAATTAAAAAATCAAAAAATTATTAAAAAACTAAAAAGTTTATACTATTTAAGGATAGCTTGTGGGGTAAGTTACTATGCCAAAGTTATTATTTTACCCTTTGAATTCAACTACTTAAAAAGTCAAAAAGTCAAAAGAGTAAAATTGTCATTTTAATTTTACTACAATATTTTATTATACATCTTTTCGTAAAAAATTAAAAAATTATGCCAAACATACATCTTTTTTTTATCAAAAAGTCAAAAAATCTCAAACAAAAACTAAAAGTTCATTCAAAATCAACTTATCATATAAACAACTCAAACTTAAACATAATTTTAAATTAAATGAAACCTAAACAACTTACTACTAAACTCGACATGAGATGACTTGACTTGTTTTCAATCCTACCAATATATTAGCATCTTCTATGAGAGAAAGATTATAAAAGTAAAAATAAAAAATAGAAAAGTACCTTCGTCGCAAAGTCAACCTCTTTGGCTTTAGCATTATAAGAACCTTACAAAATCCTTTTATAAGAAGGGTTCAAACTAAAACTTCGATCAATCCACACACTATTAGCAAACAATATAGATGGACTTGTAATTCTGTTATTCTTGTTGTTGTCCTTAAGATTGGACACCATCGATGTAAACTGCAAAGACATAAAATTCAGATCATCAATACTTTTTTTATCCCAAATAAAAAAGAAGTTGTTCCAAAGGAGAGGACACAAAATTTGAACCTTTTTTTATTTCTTTCAGTAGAACTTGCTTTGCCATTTGTATACAAAATTGGGAGCTGAAATTACAGGTGTGGATCTGTGATGGAGAGACTATTTTTTTTTCTTTTTTTGATGGGAGGTGATGGAGACTCCATTGGGATTTATTTTACACAATATAAGAGGTGGATTTCATTTATTTATAATCATAGAAATTAGGGCAACGAATAAGTAACATAAAATTACAAAAATATCCCCAACCCGGGGCCATGGACAGAAGACTCAATGCATAGTCATTATCACAGTCCTCACATGACACAACACAATATAGTTTTCCAACCAAAGTTACCTAAGATGGACTCACTATGTAGGGGTGTGTTTGGGTGGCCATTTTTTTTTTTTGTAAACTTTTTAAAAAACTTCAAAAATCTTGGGTGTTAGGTTCTACTGGACTACATGTACTAGTAAAGTAAAAAATAAGGGAAAAAAAAAAAAGCTGAAGAAAAAAAAAATTGTGATTTTTTCAAATTTTTTTAAAAAACTTTTTAAATCATTCTACATTAGAGCTAAAAAGTAAAAAGTAAAAAAAAAAAAAATGATACAAATTTAAAACAAAATGACTAAAGAGAAAAAAACAAAATTTTTGAACAATATATATATTTTACTGATCCCAAACTCACCATGCTTCCTTTGATTTTCTTATAACCTACCTTATTGGATTAAAATAATTTTACAAATAAGTTTTACAAAAATTAGTTCTTTTGACATAAAAGAGTTAATTTTTTATTTTTATTTTTTTAACGGAAACAAAAAGGGCTTACAAAAATAGTATATTAATTTAATTTTAAGTCATTACACAAATTAGGATAAGCACCTTGATTTCATGTATTTATACAGCAAACATGTGGCAGTGGTTTTTCTTTGATTGATTTTCAAGAATTGAGCACTTTGATTGGGCCCATGTAATAGGTCCCTAATTCTCGGAAAAGCTTGACATCTCATTTACATTTAAAAGGCATTGAGTCATGGGTTTAGGTCGAGTTGTGCATTATATAAATTAAAAAGGGCTAATTACTCGCATGTCCTCTTTAAAGATGTGTACTTATTTAATTTTATAATTTTTTGAGTAGATTCAAAAGGGTCTTGCGTGTTTTGCTTATTCTTTTCTCTATGTTTGCTTATTCACTTTCTCTATAAATTAAAAAGGGCTAATTACTCGCATGTCCTCTATATTTTTTGAGTAGATTCAAAAGGACCTTTGACTCCAACTTGATAAGGCCTCGGTTTTTATTTTGTTTGTTGCATACATCCTTACATTAAGTGGCAAATTTGATCCCTTGAGCCATCATGCACCATTGATGGCTCAAAGATCGAAGGTCATGCTTCTTTGAGTTCAAAATATGATAGGAAGCATGACCATGCTTATGTGTCCAAGAACTCCATGCCATGCACTGTCTGTTCTCTGTTTGCTGTCAAATTGTCTTCTGCAGGAAGTTTCTGCCGACCGGCAGAATTTAGTGCCGACCGGCACTATCTGGAGTGCCGATGAATCCAATAAAATGCCGATGGGAATTGTGAAGTGCCGGTGGTAATTCTGTCCGGCCGGCGGTGCTCTGCAGAATGCAAGGAACTTGCTCCAGTACTTTGGTAATTTTCAGAAAGACAAGGCAGTACAAACAGAGGCGACAGGGGTACAGTACGGGTTTTTCGGGCAAGACGGATTCGAGCATGCATCATTCGCGTATCCCGAGGCAGAGGCTGCGGCTACCCCTTTTCTTTCCTTCGCCACCTTTCCTTTAAATTAAATTAGAAATCTTTGTAATAATTTTATTCGTCTATTATTTGGGACTGTAATATTAATTCGGACTCTCTGAGTGAGGGTAAACATGTAATAAGTGTGGGTGAGTGTGTGTATGTCTTCCAATCCCCATTTCTTTCTTCCCTTTTATTTACCTGCTTACGATGGTAGATTAGGGCATTTTTGAAATTAGCATACCTTATGATACGCATGCGTGCATTCATGCATTTGTTGACATGCACCGGGCTCGGTACATCATACTAACCACATTCGTATTTTCAAATTCCAAAATTGAATACATGAATCAGTTGGTTGCATATCGTATGCCATATGTTAGCCGAGCCTACTCTAATTGCATCTTGCATGTGTTGCATTAGTCAACTTTAACATGAACTAGGACATGCACATTTGCTAACTAGTTTATTGTTTTGGCACGGAGTACAATGTAAGTGGTTATGCTTTAGCATCCAACACGTATGTGAATGTTGCCATAATAAGTATGCTTGCCATGCGGCTAAGTGTTTACATGAGATAAATTGCTTGAATGCCTGTGGGTGGAGGTCAAATTGCTTCAATTGGGATAATGCATTAAAACTGTGAATTTCAAAGCCCACTAGATAGTGGCAAAACCATCTTTTCTAAAAGCCCTCTTGAGGGTGGCAAAACCTTCATTTTAGCCTACTTGCGAGTAGCAAACCATTTTCAAAACAAACATGAAATGTTTTGTTCCAATTAGGCGACTTGGTCTATACTTGTTTGCGGTGCGCATAACATAGTAATTCTAGGCTAATAACCGGAATAAGAACACATAAAGTTTTCAAAATCAGATATCATGGTTAGTAGAGGCCGGTGATGACGGACATGTGGCTGACCTTCCCCGATCGTACCCAAGCTCCCGAGCCGAGACAACTCCGGTGATGACGGACATGTGGCCTTCGGCACCGAGTCAGGGTTTCCTAAATTCCCCCATTTTAAAATATTTAGGTGGCGACTCTGTATCTGGCAAAGCAGTCCATGTTTGGCACTACTTTTTCAAAAATCTGTTTCTCAAAACGATTTGCCAGATTTGGACTCTTTGGTTCAGATTAAGAACCGTGACACAAATCGAGTTCGAACTGTAGCGAGGGCCCCTCGCGGGCGTGTTACACACCTCATCAATTATTTTAGACCTCTCATTTTTTTGGACCTGCTTATAAATTCTAAAACACTTAAAATTTATTTTCTCCCCCAAATAATACCAAAATTATCCTTGTGAAAACATTCCACCAATTCAATTAAATGCACACCCCCAACACCCCAAAAAGCCTATCCCAAAAACCCTAATAAAACCCACGAACATGATTATTACTTTATCCCCACATACTTGTTCATGATCTGAGAAAATAAATATAGGGTTTTTTTTGTTGTTAATTTAAAATTCCCTTTTTATGGGTTCTACGATTTCTACGAGTTTCAGCTATCTATTTCTAAACAAATAAGAAATGTTCGGTTACCTATTCCAAACAAATGAACAATGTTCGAACTTGTATTCCCAAATTTCGATCATATGTTCAGGAGTTTAGTCACGGAAAAATGATAAACAATTTTTATTATTTTTGTCATTTTTTTTTTCTCAAGAAACTTACCTTACAATGCCAATCTCCTCTAAGCTAAGAACACCATCAAAGCTACGAACCTCCTCTAAGTTTTTATTATTATACTCCTCGCGTCTTATGGAGTTGTGGTTGTCGGAAAAACTTACACTCATTGTTATTGCCAGAAAAGTGTATGTAATCAAATGGTTGTTACGGTTATTGCAGGAATATTACTGCCAAAGGGTTTTCAAGGTTTTTTTGAAGGTGGGATTTGGGGAAGATGGATGGATGGTGATGGAGATGGGTGCTTTCATAAACTCTAACTCATGATATAGTGGGTGTGTAGGCTTAATTATAAGATAGGATGTCTCAAAATTATTTGATATGATTTTTAGTAATTTTACTTGAGGTTATTACTGTAATAAAAAAAAGCTAAAACATGAAGGATCCAAAATTATTGATAGGGTACTAATAACAGCACTCATTATAAAATGCCTCAATTCAGAACAACCAAACAGCCCCCAAAATTTTCATTGAATTTGCTTCTATCACTTTCTACAGAAAGTGGTAATCTAACAATATAGGACATTGCTTCCAAACCCTCAAATCAAATACCAGACATTGAAATTAAATTAAGGTTTAGAGCTCCCTAGAGCTCCATATTTAGTGCTTCCAAGCATTTTTGCAAGAGAATTCTTGAGAGAAACCTAAAATTGAATTGATATTTAACTACAAATTCCTAATAAACATTACATAGAAGCCAACGAACAAACAGAGAGAGAGAGAGAGAGAGAGAGAGAGAGAGAGAGGAGAGAGAGACCTGAAGAGATAGGGAGCTCATTTGAAGAGGAGGCTATTACACAAATCGACGTGGAACGAGTCAAGGCGCGATGAGTTAGGAAGACCAAGTCGGCGAGGCGAACGGGGTGTCGGCGAGTCGACCTAGAGGCTTTGAGTAAGATAAGACTGTGGGGAGTGGGAAAAGAGAGAGTGGATGTAGTGGTGCTGGTTGCCATGGTCGCTCGTTGAGTCAAGCTTCCGATTCCGATTCCAACTCTAACATGCTTCGTTGGGGAAGTTGGATTAATTTTGTTTATTTATTTATTTATTTTGACTATTTTAATCCCGGATAAAAGATCGTTTGGATTGACTTTTTTATTGGATCATTTTCACTTATAAAAGAAAAAATGAAATGATTATGGTTTAAATGTGATATTTTATTTTATTGACTTTTTAATTTATTTTATCTTTTTGTGACTCTTATTTAAGAATTACATATTTTAACTAAAAAATTAAAAAATTATTATAAATTATCACATTATTCATTTTATTTTTTTTTATAACAATTTAAAAAATTATTAAAATAATGGATGTGTATGGTTTGGTTTTGAGAGATAAATTTTCCAAAAAAAAAAAAATAAAATTGGGAAAAGAGTTTAAAAATTTTTTTGGTTTGTTTGGTTGTATATTTTCAAAATAGTTTTGGAGTGTGGGAGTTTGAGATGATTTGTTATTTTATTATAGTTGAGTAGATATGTACGAGAAAAAGTGATTGATTGATGTGTATGAGAAAGTGATTTTGGAAAAAAATTTCTAAAATCACTAAACCAAACAAAATTTTAGAAAATTTTCTCCAAAATTTGTTTTTCAAAAACAAACCAAACAAGGCCAATATGTTTTGAAACGACCCAACCCAACTTTCATTCCAAACTAGACCACAATATCTTGTTCTCTCAACAAACTAATCGAAATTGTTTTCTTCTTTATTCTATTCATTTTTTTTTTATTGGAGTTTGTAAAGGGGACTCTATCTATACTCCCAAGGCCTCATTTGGTTGGTGTACGGGGAGCAAATATTTGTCGTTGTCCATACTCCGTGTGTTTTAGCTTCGCTTCATTCCGAGTAACTTGAGAATACAATGACGGTGAGCTACCCGGCGGGTGTGTTGCCAGAAAATCCCTCCGACGATCAAGTTAGCACCCTTGGAGAAGAAGAGAAAAGGAGAGAGAGAGAGAAAAAGAGAGAGAGAGAGGAGACTTGCCAACAACAGGCCTCATAATCAAAGAAACCTACACTGCCCATATCTTCCTTTCAACAAATCCACCTCTAGCTTTGTTGAATCTGGGTTCAAAATCTCCAACCATGTCCACTTACTTGGTTCTTCTTCAAAACCAACTTCTCAGATCTCTCATCGAACCACACATTTCAATCGAATCTGTGGACACCCATTTGAGTTTTCTCTCAGAGCAGCCTCTGGGACCCCACAAGAAGCCAACCCAGATGGAGAAATTGAGGTTTCAAATCCAAACAAAACACTCCAACTAGCTGTTGTTTTTGGTCTCTGGTACTTCCAAAACATTGTGTTCAACATCTATAACAAAAAGGTTTTGAACATCTTTCCATTTCCATGGCTTCTTGCCTCATTTCAGCTCTTTGTTGGGTCTGTTTGGATGTTCTTTCTCTGGTCTTTCAAGCTCCAACCATGCCCAAAAATCTCTAAACCATTCATCATTGCCCTTCTTGGACCTGCCTTGTTCCACACAATTGGCCACATCTCAGCCTGTGTTTCATTCTCTAAAGTGGCTGTTTCTTTCACCCATGTCATCAAATCTTCAGAACCCGTCTTCTCCGTCGTGTTCTCATCGTTCCTTGGTGATTCGTATCCTCTAAAGGTTTGGCTTTCAATCCTCCCTATTGTTTTCGGTTGTTCTTTAGCTGCTATCACTGAAGTTTCCTTCAATTTTCAAGGGTTGTGGGGGGCTTTGATTAGCAATGTTGGATTTGTTCTCCGTAACATTTATTCGAAACGAAGTTTACAGAGCTTTAAGGAAGTGAATGGGTTGAATTTATATGGTTGGATCAGTATAATTTCATTGCTTTACTTATTTCCAGTGGCAGTGTTTGTTGAAGGGTCTCAATGGGTTGTGGGGTATCAAAAAGCAATTGAAACTATAGGGAAACCTTCCACATTTTACATATGGGTGATCCTATCTGGGGTGTTTTACCATCTCTATAACCAGTCATCATATCAAGCACTGGATGAGATTAGCCCTCTGACGTTCTCAGTTGGTAACACAATGAAGAGGGTTGTGGTGATCATATCTACTATTTTGGTTTTCAGGAACCCTGTTAGGCCTTTGAATGCACTTGGATCCGCCATTGCAATATTCGGGACTTTCTTGTACTCACAGGCAACATCAAAGAAAACTGTGAAGAAAAATGAAGATAATAAGAATATTTGAAATGGTTTAGTTCTTTTTCACTTTCTAATTTGTTTGATTCGATAGCTTTGGAACTTTTGTAGTATTTTGTTGTATCCCGAGCAATGAATTTTTATCAAGTTTAGAAATATCTTTATTGCTGATTTCTGCTTTCTTTTTTTTTCCCATCTTAATTATCATTTAATTGAACTGCATACATTTGTTCTATACACCATGATCCTTACATGAGCAGAATGATCTAATTTGTATGAAAAGAGTTGCCTAGGTTACATTGCTATATTTATTGCTTCATGGTTGATTGATATTCAGCTGTAGGCTTCAGATCAATGAAGCGAATATTAGTGGAAAGGTCTAGGGATCCAATTTGAGTCATTTGATACTTACAGAAAAATTATCATAATTTGCCAACTCAGGTTGCGTAGATTGTTGTTCTGACTATCTTCGAATGTAATTTACTTTTTTCTTTTTGAAATTTTACAAAGATCGTATATATTGATTAGGGAGTACTGGTAAAGGTTGCTAGACATGGAATTGTTTGATTCAATTATTGTGCAAAACCTAAATCTATAAAATCTGCAGTTGAAAACACCTCTGAAATCTAGACCTGATTATCCATATTAGGGACTGGGTTTTTATAATTACAAATTAGTTGATTGCACAGGTATGATAGAAAGTTCTATTAATATCCTATCAATAAGAGGAGGGATTTGACATTGGATGTCCATGAAATTTGGTTTACAAGGTCAGAGGACTTTTAGCTTTGTTTGTGGTTTTGTGTAGATGCAGAGGTTTTTTGACTTGTTTGTGTACTTGGTTGGTGCCCCCTTGGCACTATCATCTATCTGAATTTAGTTACCAAAAAAAATCTTTAATTTTGAGTGGTTAAATAAATGTGATTTCTCCCTTTGACGTTGTGGTTGAAAAAGTAGCCAAGGATTCCAGAATTTTGTTAGCTATGTGCCTTTCATGCTCTATTATTGGCATTGTACTATTCATGGTTTGAATCATATTCGATTCAATGGGTAATTGATACGAATGGGTTGCTTAAATTGCAAATAGTGAATCTTTGAACCAAATCGGTAAATTGTGAATCGATCAATTCACTTTCAATTTGTTGAAATTATTTTTGTCATTTCTTTTGGTTTTTGTTGTTTGAAAAGGGTTTATTACTTAACCTTTTAAAGATCTTTAGGGTTACTATAGGCCATCATTTTGACTTTCTCCCTACCTATTTACTCTTAGAGACTCGAACTATAGAAAAAACACAAACCTTCTCTCTACAATATTCTAGTCCTATATTTTCAACATTGTCTAAAAGTGTTTGCATTTATAAAAAGAATTTTTTGAAGATATCATGTGAGATTTTCGAAAAAGTTTTGGGATTTGGGTTTCTTAACCCCCTTTGAGGTGAGTGTTTCTATTACTTTTGTTGTAAAAATTTAAGAATATTGTTGTTGAGTTACTATTGATTGGAAATTGAGAATTTGTCTTTGTGTACTTTCTTTAGTGGAAAATTCGATTCAATTTGTGATTCAGTACAAGGCCATTTCAATTCACAAGGATTTGATATCTCAAATAAGTAGGTGGTTGTTAAGGAAAGATTTTCGTTGATGAAAGCTTTCTTATTCAAATCCCGATTTAACAACTATGCTCCCATGTATATGTGCTCCTTGTATTTTGTCAAATATGCTTATTCAACAATAAGTTATAGGAACGATTATCAAATTTGCTAATGGATAAATTATGAGTACAAAATCTCAACTTATTGTTACATTATTCACTAGCTACTTAAATAATTAAATTTAACTACCCAACCTATGCTCCGTATTCCCTACTGACAGAGTAACCTGGACCGAGTCTGGTAGGCCTTATTTCTTCACTTTGCTATTTTGCTTAAAGGATTGGTAAGGATCGTAGACGACAATATAGATCTGAAAATTAGAACAAAAAAGAAAGACCTTATAGTGGACAAATTTGAGAACATATATGGCTTTCTTGGTATGGACTAATGAGATCGGCTTGCTGTTTAGGATAGGGAAGAATTTCTACCCTGATCTATCAAACCTGTAGAGTTCTGCAGTTATCTTTACTTTCCTACCCTATGGAAATGCTAGTTTATTATGAGTTAGGTCTGCCTCTTAGTTCCCAGTTCATTCAGATTAGCATTGCAGAGAAACATTGCTCAAATGTAGAGCGTGAGGATCATTGTTTTCTTTCTTTGCTTCTTATCTCCTTTTCAATTTTGGTGGACTGACTTCATTTGGATTTCAGCTTTTATATTGTTTAAATACATTTTCATGTTGCCTATCCATAAACAAAAAGGTAAAATTCAGATTGAGCTGGAACATATGCCATCACTATTCTTCAGTAGCTGGAATATTATGAAGAGATCAAAACTCTGCCTGGGAAATTATAGTTGGTTCTGTAAATTATTTCGCAGAAAATTTCCAGGAAAATTATAGTTGATGGGAAAATGCATGTGTTCATCATAGAAGTTTTGACTGTGATATAGGGTTACTTGGGACGATTGCATGTGTTCATCTGCCTTTATTTATTTATTTTTCCTTTGAAAATCTTAAAGTTCACCCAATAAAAATATGTGAGATTCTTATTGATCTCTTTGGTCATTTCAATGATGCTTGTATGGAGCAGAAATGTGTATGTTAATTCTTCTTGATTCTGAATAACTATATTCAATGATTGTAATTGTCCAAGTAGGAAATTTGTAAAATGCATAACAAATCATGTCAAATGTGTCTTGAAAAGGAAGTCTTGAGGAATCCATGCCTAACCCATTGGCTCTTTTCCATTAGAGCTCAAACAACTCATTGAAGCTTTTCATTCTTTTAGACATCAAAAGAGCATATTGCTAATAAATTGCCTAGACATTTCAGACGCATCTGAGATAATCAGGGGTTGTTTGGGGTGTCTTAAATAAATGTACTTTTTGTCTTTTTGAACTAAAAAATTGAGGAAGAAAATATGGATGTTTGGGTTAACTTTTTGACTTTTTATGAAAAAATGTGTAATAAAAAATTGTAAAAATTAATTTGTAGGAAAAAATTAGGATTGGGAGTTGTGCAACCGTAATTGTTGACTTTTGATGAATAATGTTAAATTTTTAACTTTTTGAATAACTTTTTAACTTTTTGACTTTTTTACAATACGCCAAACTTGGCCTCAGTAATAATGGCTACAACCAAGATTCAATATAAGTCATATTGTTTAGGAAGAAATGCACCTGTGATTATAGCATTAGCTCATGATTTCCAACTGGACAGTGATTAAGGCCCGTTTGGGAAGTGAATTTATTTATTTATTTTTTAATGCGGTTAAAGTATGTGGTGAATACCAATTATGTTTGGAAAGGACTTTTTTGCCCCTTTTTTTTTTTTGTGCAGAAAAACATGCAAATAGTAGAGTGAATAGGAAAGAATATTTGACTTTTTTGGATGGATTAAATCTTATTATTTATTTGTGGACTTTTGGATTTTTTAATAATTTTTTAACTTTTAATTAAAATAACTTATTCCTAAACGAACTCTAATTGACATCCTGATCCAGTTGGATGAATTCTTCTTCAAGACTTGGTTGAGTACCAACGCTGGATTGCAATATGTGCAACGAATAATGTTTTAGAGCATTAAATTGGGAGCTCTAGAGTATCACTAATGATGTGACACAGTGGCCTCCACCAAAGTGATGTGATGTTTTGGCTTGAGTTTTTTTTTTTTTTTTTTTTTTAAGCTGATTAGAGCTATTAGTGGTCCAAAAATTAGTGGGATGAATCACCACTCATGTGCAACTCCTAGATGTAGAAAGAATCCAGGATTTGTGATTCTGTGCCCACGGAGCGAAGTCCATAACTCTAGTGCTCTCATAGTTCATTTTTCATTGCCTTTTTTTAGTAAGGTAAGGTTAAATGACTTAAGAGTCCTTTGAGCAACTCTTTAGACGGACTGGATTAGATGAGATTAGCATTTCAAAGACTATTAGTCCTGAGATTATTAATTCTTTTGGATTATGTATCTTATTCCATGTTTACATTAATTTAGGATTATAAAAAGAGATTGATAAAATTACGTCAATTTTATAATTTAACTAATTAGTCTGACCCTCTCTTTAGTGTTTTATTTTGTATCTCACCACCTCTCATGCTATTCAATAGTCTCCCATAGGAGGGATACTATGTCTAAATGGACTATTAGTCTCGATTCCAATTATCTTTATCCAAACATCGAATTGTAGATTATGTTGGATTATTAATCCAACATAATATATATTTACAAAATATATATTTAAAATAAAAAATAAAATAAAATATTTTTAAAATATAATTTTTTTTTTATTTTAAATATTTTATTTTATTTTGTAAATATTTTAATTTTTTTAATTTTAATATCCCTATTTTGAACTCAAAACACAACTTTACACTCAAATCGTAACCAAACGCACAATTCAAAACTCAATTAAAAAACTATTTTCAAAACTCATAACTAAACATATAACTCAAAATTTCATACTACTTTCAAAACACCACACTCAAATTGTAACCAAACACATAACAAAAAAATTAAAATATTTAAAAATATATTTATAAAATAAAATAAAATATTTGAAATAAAAAAATATTGAAAATAAAAATTATAAATTTAAAATAAAAAACAAAAAATATTTTTTTTAATATTTAAAATATTAAAAAAATACAACACATAAATATTTATTTATTTATTTTAATGTGCATTATATTTCATACATTTATGTGTTATATTTTTTTAATATTTTAAATATTAAAAAATTTAAAAAAAAATTTATTTTTTATTTTAAATATAATTTTTATTATAAATATTAGTTAACCAAACAAATGTTTCTTGCTTTTTTTCAAATTCAATGCAATTTTTTTCCCCTCAATTTCCCCCCCTTCCACTTATAACATAATAAATATATAAAGTTTGGAGATGTGGGGGATTGAACCCCATATCGCTTCTATGGAAAGGAGTGCATTACCATTTGAGCTACCTTTTTGCTTATCTTATATTTTGATTACAAAACAATTTTATGTAAAAGCATGTTTGTGAACCACGTTTTTTGAAAAAAAAATTTATTTCGTAAAAGCGTGGTTGTGAACCACGTTTTCTGGAACAA